TCACATACATGTAAGAAAGCCAACACAAGTGTTCACACTTTTGCAAGCATAGCAAAGTTCAGATTCTTTTAAGAGTGCAATTTATGTGTAGTTCATTAGAAAAAAAGGGCATCATACTCACGTATGTTTAGCCGTTGATGTTCATTGTGTGCAGCCCTTTTAGGCAAATCCTGTGCACAGATGTTTTCTTTTACATGGATATTCAGTGATTTCATACAGTTGTACTGTGAAAAAAAATGATACTCAAAATTAGGCAAATTGCTATGCAAACAAAATATTGCATAGCAGATTTTGCTGTGCAATTATTGTCAGGAAATGGAGCACTGATCGCACAGATCCATTAAGTGAAAGAAAAGCTCTAGAAGTGAAATGCAGTTTTTCATGTGCTGCAGCTTTTCCTCCTATTTGAAGTTGACCTGTGTTGCTTTCAGTTGCACACAAAGATGGCAAGGTTGGGATACTTGATGTGATTTCTTTGCTGAGATACACTGTCAGGGATCGATCATTACAACCTTGTAGCCCTGCACAATAAGCCTTTTGCGAGTTAACTTTGACCCAAATCTAGTACACCGAGTTCTTTAAATTCACGTGAACATAACAACTTGAATTCTCCTTACTAAAACCACTGTTGCTATACCTCGTGATTCGGGGCAAGCTTTTGCTTAGTTACATAAGAGACGCCTTGCAACAATACTCTGTTCTTATTTTACTGCATAGGTTGGTAACCTTCATTTTTGTGCATTCTCTCCTTTGCTACCCTCCAGGAGAGCATTGTGAGATTGATTTTGGTGACTGCACCTCTCTTCCATGTGCCAACGGAGCCGTCTGCATAGATGGGGTCAACGCCTTCACCTGCCAGTGCTTGGAAGGTTTCACTGGTACTCTGTGTGAGATTGATATCAACGAGTGTGTGTCCCTTCCCTGCTTCAATGCTGGGATCTGTGTGGATCAGATCAATGGATACTTTCAGCCCAATCCCTGCAGGCACGGTGGGTCTTGTAACCTGACTGCCAATGGCTTTGAGTGTCAGCGTCAGGCTGGGTTTGAAGGAGCACTGTGCCAGACTAACATCGACAATTGTGTTAACCATCAGTGTCTGCATGGAGCGAGCTGTGTTGATCAGGTAAGAATGTTTTCAAGTTAAAGAGATTTTCCGTATTTGCTTTATTTTCCCTAGAGAAAGTCACACTGCCAAGGTGTAGGATCTTTTATGCCTTCCGTAGAAAACATGGCAGGCCATGCACGCAGCCAAGTTCAAGTTCAATACACGTTCTCATTCCATGGACTTGTGCATTTGAACATAGAAATGGGGAAAATTTAATTGTATAATTCAACTGTATATGATTATTGTTTACATGGCTGCTGTAAAACAGTCACTAAAAATCGCTGTGCGTTTACACATGCATCCTCCAACACTGGTTAAGATGGCATCTTGAAAAAGGCTTAATTGGACCCATACGTCAAAGTGAATCCAGGCTGTTTGTCACAAGCACCATTGTGTTTTATGGGAAATCTCCATTCCTAGTTTAGATTTTACTCGGAATCATATCTCATCGTTTTGATTTTATGTTAAACAGCATTCCTGGGGGGGGATATACTTCAGAAAATCATTATTCTACGTCCCATCTCACAGCGTACAAGTTCCACATCAGTCTCTGTTTATTATTTGTTCTTTCTGCTAGTGCACCATCATCTCCAAAATGCTCAATTTTTTCCCCACTCCCGCATAGATAGATCTTCATTAGTCTCATCCCCAGTAGTCATATATTTTTCCACAGATCTGACCATTCCCTGTGGTTGTTTATGTCCTTACCCACAGGCCAACCGTTATTCCTGTCGCTNGGTAAAAATATTGCTTGGGCAAGGTGCTAGAGGCAAAAAATCAGAGTGTGTCACATAAGGGTACATCAACATACCCTTTCGCAAGTAAGCCATCGCCAGTTACATACATGTAAGAAAGCCAACACAAGTGTTCACACTTTTGCAAGCATAGCAAAGTTCAGATTCTTTTAACAGTGCAATTTATGTGTAGTTCATTAGAAAAGAGGGCATCGTACTCAGGTATGTTTAGCCGTTGATGTTCATTGTGTGCAGCCCTTTTAGGCAAATCCTGTGCACAGATGTTTTCTTTTATATGGATATTCAGTGATTTCATGCAGTTGTATTGTGAAAAAAATGCTACTCAAAATTAGGCAAATTGCTATGCAAACAAAATATTGCATAGCAGTTTTTGCTGTGCAATTATTTTCAGGAAATGGAACACTGATCGCACAGATCCATCGAGTGAAAGAAAAGCTTAATGCAGTTTTTCATGTACTGCAGCTTTTCCTCCCATTTGAAGTTGACCTGTGTTGCTTTCAGTCGCACGCAAAGATGGCAAGGTTGGGATACTTGATGTGATTTCTGTGCTGAGATACACTGTCAGGGATCGATCATTACAACCTTGTAGCCCTGCAATAAGCCTTTTGCGAGTTACCTTTGACCCAAATCTACATGTAGAACACTGAGTTCTTTAAATATATGTGAACATAACAACTTGAATTCTCCTTACTAAAACCACTGTTGCAACAAAAGCTTGCCCCGAATCACGAGGTATAGCAACATGTTGCTATACCTCGTGATTCGGGGCAAGCTTTTGCTTAGTTACATAAGAGACGCCTTGCAACAATACACTGTTCTTATTTTACTGCATAGGTTGGTAACCCTGCATTTTTTTGGCATTCTCTCCATTTTCTACCCACTAGGAGAGCATTGCGAGATTGATTTTGATGACTGCACCTCTCTTCCCTGTGCCAACCGAGCCGTCTGCATAGACGGGGTCAACGCCTTCACCTGCCAGTGCTTGGAAGGTTTCACTGGTACTCTGTGTGAGATTAATATCAGTGAGCGTGTGTCACTTCCCTGCTTCAATGCTGGGATCTGTGTGGACCAGATCAATGGATACTTTCAGCCCAATCCCTGCAGGCACGGTGGGTCTTGTAACCTGACTGCCAATGGCTTTAAGTGTCAGCGTCAGGCTGGGTTTGAAGGAGCACTGTTCCAGACTAACATTGACAATTGTGTTAGTGTCTGCACGGAGCTGAGCGAGCTGTGTTGATCAGGTAAGAATGTTTTCAAGTTAAAGAGATTTTCCCTAATTGCTTTATTTTCCCTACAGAAAGTCACACTGCCAAGGTGTAGGATCTTTTATGCCTTCCATAGAAAACATGGCAGGCCATGCACTGCAGCCAAGTTCAAGTTCAATACACGTTCTCATTCCATGGACTTGTGCATTTGAACATAGAAATGGGGAAAATTTAGTTGTATAATTCAACTGTATGTGATTATTGTTTACATGTCTGCTGTAAAACTGTCACTGAAAATCACTATGAGTTTGCACATGCATCCTTCAACACTGGTTAAGATGGCATCTTGAAAAAGGCTTAATTGGACCCATATGTCAAAGTGAATCCAGGCTGTTTGTCACAAGCACCATTGTGTATTATGGGAAATCTCCATTCCTAGTTTAGATTTTATTCGGAATCATATCTCATCGTTTTGACTTTATGTTAAGCAGCATTCCGGGGAGGGGATAAACTTCAGAAAATCATTATTCTACGTCCTATCTCACAGCATACAAGTTCCACCTCAGTCTTTGTTTATTTTTTGTTCTCTGCTAGTGCACCATCATCTCTAAAATGCTCAATTTCTTTCAGCCCACTCCCGCGTAGATAGATCTTCATTAGTCTGATTCCCAGTAGTCATATATTTTTCCACAGACCTGACCTTTCTCTGTGGTTGTTTATGTCCTTACCCACAGGCCAACCGTTATTCCTGTCGCTGTGCTCCAGGCTACACAGGACAGTTTTGTGAGACGGCTTTAGACATCTGCTCAGCTGAGCCATGCCAGAACAG